GATAGGCCCTATTAAATATCCCAGTGAAAAAAGAAATTTAAAAGAATTAAGATAGCTCCTGATATACCACTAAATGAACAAATATTCAAATTTTGGGAGTGCTCAAAGGTGAAGAAAAAGGTAGAAAGGTTGAGGCAAACCTATTCAATGAGATAAGAACTAAAAATTCTCCCCCAATTGGTAAAGAAGAGACACCCAGGTACATGTGGCCCATTGGTCCCCAAATGGACATGGCCAGGAAAGATCCTCACCTTGACATGTTATAGTTCACTATTAAAAGTGCAACATAAAGAGATAATTCTGGGGGCTGGCACTGTGGCATAGTGGGTAAAGCCACTGCTACAGTGCCAGCATCCCATAGGGTGCCAGTTAGAGTCCTGGCTGCTCCACTTCCAATCCAGCGCTCTATTATGGCCTAGGAAAGCTGTTGAAGATGGCCCAAGTCCTTGGATACTTGCACCCACGTGGGAGACCTAGAAGTAGCTCAGGCTCTTGGCTTTGGATTGGCCCAGCTCCAGCAGTTGTGGCCATTTGGGGTGTGAACTAGTGGATGGAAGACTTCTCTCTCTCTCTGCCTCTGCCTCTCTGTAATTCTGCCTCTCAAATAAATAAATATTTTTTAAAAAGAGAGAGAATTCTGAAAACTACAAGAGAAAGACACCGAGTCACATTTAAGAGAACCCCCTTTAGACTAACAAGAAATTTCTCAATGGAAGGATAACGGGTGAGGGGAATGCAATGACATATTCCAAGTTCTGAAGGAAAAGAATTTCTGCCAAACAAGAATATTAAACCCAAGAAAGCTTTACTTTAAAAATAACTCCAAAGACAAACAAAAAATAGGGAACATATCACCACCAAATCAGTCTTACAAAAATCCTTAAGGGAGTCGTATCAAGAAGTAAAACAAAATCAACTATAGTGGAAAAACAGGAAAATATAAAACCCACTATAAAAGTAAATATTCAAATGAGAGAAAGGAAGGAATCAAACCTTTACAGAATGCAGTAAACCAACTAAACAAGAAAAAGGAAAAACAAGGAAGAAAAGAATAAAATATGTCGGAAAAAAAAGAAAAAAATTTAAAAGACAGGAATGAGTCCTTATTTAATCAATAATGACGTTGAATGTAAGCAGACTAAACTCACCAATTAAAAGATTCAGACTGGGTGAGGCATTTGGCTTAGCAGCCAAAACACTGGTTAAAATACCTGCATCTCAAGTTAATGTACCTAGGTTCAATTCCTGGCTCCAGCTCCTTATTCCAGGCCACGAGAGACAGCATGATGACACAAGTAGTTGGATTCCTGCCATCCATGTGCCAGACAACTTTCAGAGTTATTGCAGGCATTTAGGGAGTGAATCAGTGGATAAAAGTTTCTCTCTCCCTCTCTTTCCCAAATAATTTATTCCATAACAGAACATACGTTAGGTCACAAAAGAAGTCTCATCAAACTCAAAAGAATCAAAATTGTATCATGTTTCTCTTTTGACCACACTGGAACAAAACTGGAAATCAGAAACAAGTATATTTTATTATTTTAAAATTTGTATTAATATTAAAGCAAATTTCATGTATTTCAAAGGTACAATTCTGAGAAGATAATTATACTTCCTTCCTTCCCTCTGTGCCTTACTCAATCATCCTCCTTGCTCATTTTTTTACTTTAATTTCTGAAAAAATATAATTTCAGTCTACGCTATAATCACAGATTTACATACCACTAACTATAACACTCAACAAGTGAAAAATAGAAAGACCACATTTCCACAATAGTAAAAACATGGGCTAAAAACAACAATCAAATCAGAAGATGTCAGTTTCATTCTTATACATTTTTAAAATTCTATATTAACTACCAAGTATAAGAGAAACCATATATTTGTCTTTTGAGGGACTGACTTATTTCACTAAGAATAATGGTTTCCAGTTGCATCCATTTTGTTGCAAAAGACAGGATTTTATTCTTTTTGGTAACTTAATAGTATCCCATAGTGTATATATATGCCATATTTTCTTTGTCCAGTCATCAACTGATAGATATCTGGGTGGATTCCATATCTTAGCTATTGTGGCTTAAACTTCAATAAACAGGAGGTACAAGTAACTCTTTCATATGCTTATTTCATTTTATTTGTGTAAATTCCCAGGAATGGGATGGCTGTTTTCAGATTTTTGAGGAATCTCCATACTATCTTCCATAATGGTTGTATGAGTTTATATTCCCAATAATAGTGGATTAGAGTACCTTTTACCAGACATCCTTGAAGCATTTATTCTTCAGTTTTTGGATGGTAGCCATTCTAATTGGGGTGAGGTGAAACTTCACTGATTTTTTTTTTTTTTACATTTCCGCTATGGTTAGTGACCCTGAGCATCTTATCATGTGTCTGTTGGCCATTTGTATTTCATCCTTCAAAAAATGCCTGTTTCATGTTCTTTTTTTATTCTTTTTTTTTATTTTTTGACAGGCAAAGTTAGACAGTGAGTGAGAGAGACAGAGAGAGAGAGTTATGGACAGTGAGAGAGAGACAGAGAGAAAAGTCTTCCTTCCATTGGTTCACTCCCCGAATTGCTGCTACGGCTGGCGCTGCGCCAATCCGAAGCCAGGAGCCGGGTGCTTCCTCTCCGTCTCTCATGTGGGTGCAGGGGCCCAAGCACTTGGGCCATCCTCCTCTGCCCTCCTGGGCCACAGCAGAGAGTTTGACTGGAAGAGGAGCAACCAGGACTAGTTCTCGGTGCCCCAACCGGGACTAGAACCCGGGGTGCTGGCACCACAGGAGGAAGATTAGCCAAATGAGCCATGGCGCCAGCCTACCTGTTTCTTAACTGAATTGTTTATTTTGCTGTTATTGAGTTTCCTGGGCTCTTTATAGACCCTGGATGTTAATCTTTTATCAATTACATAGCTTGCAAATATTTTATTCCATTATCTCTGATGCTTCTTCACTTTGTTGAGTGTTTCATTTCCAGCACAGAAACTTCTTAGCTTGATGAAATCCCATTTGTTTCTTTTGGTTTTGATTGCCTTCACTTCTGGGGTTCTTTTTCAAGAAGTATTTGCCTAAGCCAATGTCTTGCAGAGTTTTCCTGATGTTTTCTTCTAGTCATTTGATGGTATCAGGTCATAGACTTAGATCCTTGTTCCTTTTAGAGTTGATCTTTGCATAAGGGGTAAGGTATGAGTCTTGTTTTATACTTCTTCATGCAAAGAACCAATTTCTCCAGCACCATTTGTTGAAGAGGCTGTCCCTTTTACAGGGATTGATTTTAGATCATTTGTCAAAGATTGCTTGGTTGTAGTTGTGTGGATTAATTTCTAGTGTTTCTCTTACATTGGCCTACATGTCTATTTTTGTGCGGGTACCAGGCTGTTCTATTTTTTTTAATTAACCTATAAGATGAACAGATTAGGAGAATTTTTACTTGATTATAACTACCCTGTGATACATGTTGAAATCTGGTATTGGGATGCCTCCAGCTTGATAAGCTCTTTTCCTGACTGTTGATGTACAATGCAATACTTTATCCATTTTAGTAATTTTTTTTGTTCTAGTACTATTGGTTGAACTCTGTAATTAACACACAATTATTCTTAGGTGTTTAAATTTTAACTGAAAAGTGATCCTTGTTAGGAATTTGGAAAACATTATGCTGAGTGAAATAAGCCAGTCCCAAAGGGACAAATATCATATGTTCTCCCTGATCAGTGACAACTAACCGAGCACCAAAAAGGAAACCTGTTAAAGTGAAATGAACACTATGAGAACCAGTGACTTGATCAGCTCTTGTCCTGACTGTTGATGAACAACTTAAAATGTTATCCCTCTTAGAATTTTTTGTTTGTTTGTTCTACTTAACACTTTTGGTTGAATACTGTAACCAATACACAGTTATTCTTAAGTGTTGAAATTTAACTGAAAAGTGATTGCTGTTAAATATAAGAGTGGGCATAAGAGAGGGAAGAGATGTGCAATTTGGGACATTCTCAAGCTGACTTACCTCAAACGGTAGAGTTAGAAACATACCAGGGGATTCGAATTCAATCCCATCAAGGTGGCATGTACCAATGCCATCTCACTATTCCAAGTGATCAATTTCAGTTCACAATTGATCATAATGAAAGGACTAAGAGTCAAAGGGATCATATAAACAAGTCTAGTACCTGCTAATACTAGCTGATAGAATAAAAAAGGGAAAGAACGATCCAACATGGGAAGTGAGATACACAGCAGACCCATAGAATGGCAGATGTCCTAAACAGCACTCTGGCCTCAGAATCAGCCCTTAGGCATTCGGATCCGGCTGAAATGCCCATGAGAGTATTTCAGACATGGAAAGCCAAGACACTCTGGCAAAAAAGAAAAAAAATGACCTAAATGAAAGATCTCCGTGAGTGAGATCCCAGTGGAAAGACAGGTCATCAAAGAAGGAGGTACCTTTCTCTGAAGGGAGGAGAGAACTTCCACTCTGACTATGACCTTGTCTAAATATGATCAGAGTCAGTGAACTCAAAAGGCTTCCATAGCCTTGGCAACTCATGACAAGAGCCTAGGGTGATTACTGATGCCATAAACAAGAGTGTCACTTTGTGAAGTCAACAACAGGAGTCACTGTGCACTTACTCCTCATGTAGGATCTCTGTCCTTAATGTGCTGTACATTGTGATTTAATGCTAGAACTAGTACTCAAGCAGTATTTTTCACTTTGCGTTTCTATGTGGGTGCAAACTGTTGAAATCTTTACTTAATATATGCTAAACTGATCTTCTGTATATAAAGAGACTTGAAAATGAATCTTGATGTGAATGGAAGGGGAGAGGGAGTGGGAAAGGGGAGGGTTGCGGGTGGGAGGGAAGTTATGGGTTGGGAAGCTGTTGTAATCCATAAGCTGTACTTTGGAAATTTATATTCATTAAATAAAAGTTAAAAATAAGATTGCTTCAGTTATTCATGGTCCCCTGTGTTTTCATGTAAATTTTGGGATTTTTTTTTCCTAGATCTGAGAACAATGTCCTTGGTGTTTTGATTGAAATTGCATCAAACCTGTAAATTACTTTGGACAGTATGGACATTCTGTTGATATTAATCCTTCCAATCCATGAATATGGTAAATGCTTCCTTTTTTTGTTTGTGTCTTCTTTTGTTTCTTTCTTTAGCACTTTCTAATTTTTATTGTAGCGATCTTTTACATCCTTTGTTAAATTTATTCCAAGGTATTAAATTGTTTGTATTTGTTGTGAATGGGACTGATCTTACAAGTTCCATTCAACCATAACACTGTATGTGTATGCAAAGGTTTTTGTGTGTTGATTTTATATCCCACAACTTTACCAAACTCTCTTATGAGTTTCAAAAGTCTCAGTGTATCTTGTCACCACAAACTGATAATTTGACTTTCTCCTTTCCCATTTGTATCCCTTTGACTAATTTTTCTTACCTAATGGCTCCAGCTAAAACTATAGGACAATATTGAATAGCAATAGTGAAAGTGGTCACCCTTGTCTGGGTCTGGATCTCAGTGGAAATGCATCCTACTTTTCCTCATTCAATATGATGTTGGCTATGGATTTGTCATATATTACACTGACAATGCTGAGGAAGGTTCCCCTATACCCAAATTGCCTAAAGTTTTACTATGAAAGGATGTTGTATTTTATCAAATAATTTCTCAGCACCTATTGAGATAATCATATAGTTTTTATTCTCCAATTTGTTAATGTGATTTATCACATTTATTGATTTGTATATGCTGAACCATCCCTGTATACCAGGGATAAATCCTATTTGGCCCATGTAAATAATCTCTTTCTGATGTTTTTCTGCATTCAATTATCTAGTATTTTGTTGAGGATTTTTATATCTTTGTTCATCAGTGATGTTGGTCTGTAGTTCTCTTTCTTTGTTGTATCTTTTTCTGGTTGGGGAAACACTTTAAGGCATCCCTGTAGGCAATGATTTAATGGGCAAGATCTATAAAGCACAGGTAACAAAAATAAAAGTAGATAAATGGGATTGTATCAAACTAAGAAACCTGTGTGCACCAAAGCAAACAATCAGCAGAGAAAAAGTGGTCATAAATACTGGAAAAGAAATCTGAAAACTACTCAACTAACAAAGAATTGGTATCTAGAATATACAAGGAAATCAAAAAGAAATAATCCAGTTTAAAAAATGAGAAAATGACCTTATTAGATATTTCTCGAAAAAGAAGTACAAAAGTCCAGCAGATACATTTCAAAAGACCCAATTTCAATAGCCATTAAGGAAAAGCAAATAAAAATAACTAGATATCACTTCATCCCAGTTTGAATGTCTATTACTAAAGAGATTAAAAAAAAAAACAACAAATGCTGGTGAGGAAGTAGGAAAGATGGACTTATATTTTGTTGGTGAGAATGTAAATTAGCACAATCATTAGAACAATATTGTGGTAACCCCCAAAATGAAATAAATATATCATATGATTCAGCAATCCCATTTTTGTTCATATATTCAAAAGAAATGAAATCAGCCTATCATAGAGATGCTTGTACTCTGATGTTTATTGCCATACTATTCACAGCAGCCAACGTGTAGAATCAATCTAGGTGCCCACTGATAGATGCGTATATAAAGCAAATGTGCTATTTGTACACAATGAAATATTATTCACATATAAAAAAAGAATGAAATTCTGTCATTTACGCAAAATGGATAGAACTGGAGGTCATTATACTAAATGAAATAAGCCAGACAGAAAAATGAATACTGCATATTCTCTCTCATGTATAGAAGCTTTTAAAAGTCCATCTGAACTAGAATAGAGATTACTAGAGGCTGGGGAGTGTGGAAGAAAGAAGGACAGATGGAGGTTGGATAATGGATACCAAAGCAAAGTTAGATAGAATAAATACGTTCTAGTGTTCCACAATATAGAGGGATAACTACAGTTTACAGTATTATATGCTTTTTTTTTGACAGGCAGAGTTAGACAGTGAGAGAGAGACAGAGAGAAAGGTCTTCCTTTTTCCGTTAGTCCACCCTCCAAATGGCCGCTACGGCTGGGGCACTACAGCTGGCCCGCTGTGGCCAGCGCTCTGTGCCAATCCGAAACCAAAAACCAGGTGCTTCCCCCCTCATCTCCCATGTGGATGCAGGGCCCAAGCACTTGGGCCATCCTCCACTGCACTCTCGGGCCACAGCAGAGAGCTGGCCTGGAAGAGGAGCAACGGGGACAGAATCTGGCGCCCCAACCAGGACTAGAACCCTGGGTGCTGGCGCCATACGTACAGGCGGAGGATTAGCCAAGTGAGCAGCGGTGCCGGCCTATAATATTATATGCTTTAAGAAGAACTAGAAAAAAGAGAATCTCAAAGGTTCCAAGAACAGAAATGATGAAACAGATAGAAATGCTTTCATGACCTCATCAGAACATGTTATATAAAAGTCTTGAAATACTACACTTCACCCCACAAATGTGTATAATTACTGTATGTTGATAAAAATGACAAACACATTTATAAAAAAGCTAAAATTGGTAAAATAAAATAAATACTAGTGTAATTCCCACTCCTTCTCCTTAGGTCAGAAGAGGCACAGCTCTATTCTGGAAAGATTTGGAACCAGCAATTTGAGAGAGAAGCTTTACATCAAGACAATAGGTACACTCATCTTCAAAGACAGGTGGTTATTCTCATCAAGAGTAGAAAAGCCAACTGAATTATTGTCAACTAACTTAGGTGTTATCATGGATTAAGTGGTGTCCTCCAAGAATGATGCACTGAGTCCCTACTACCCCAGAATGTGAACTTATTTGGAATGAGGGACTTTACAGAGTTAAGTAAATTAACATGAAGTCATTAGGGTGGACCCCATGCAGTTATGAATGGTGTGTTTATAAACAGGGCAAATTGAAGCACAAACACATGCATGGAAGAAGGACCATGTGAAGAGACAGGGAGAACACCAGGTGAAGATGGAGGCTGAGAGCTGAGTGGTGCAAAGACTGCCAGCTACCAAGAGGAGGTTTTTTGTTTGTTTGTTTGTTTGTTTGTTTTGACAGGCAGAGTGGACAGTGAGAGAGAGAGAGACAGAGAGAAAGGTCTTCCTTTGCCGTTGGGTCACCCTCCAATGGCCGCCGCAGCCGGCGTGCTGTGGCCGGCGCACCACGCTGATCCAGCCAGGTACTTATCCTGGTCTCCCATGGGGTGCAGGGCCCAAGTACTCGGGCCATCCTCCACAGCAGAGAGCTGGCCTGGAAGAGGGGCAACCAGGACAGAATCCGGCACCCCGCCTGGGACTAGAACCCGGTGTGCCGGTGCCGCAAGGCGGAGGATTAGCCTAGTGAGCCGCAGCGCCTGCCCCAAGAGGAGTTTTGAGAGGCAAAGAGCAGGTTCTTTCTCACAGCCCTTGGAGGCAATCAACCCTTTCAACTCCTTGACTTCAGATTTCTGGCCTGTAGAACTCTGAGACAATACATCTGGTTGTTTAAGTCATCCGGTGTGTGCTATTTTGTCATGGCAGCCTAGGAGACTAATATAGGGGGTAAGCTAATCACAGAAAAATAACTCAGTACTGAACAAGACCAGTTACTACAGACTTTTCTATTCTCTGAAATTGTACAATTGATAGGTGCCATTAGGAAGATGATACTTTCAGCCATTTTCAGGGTCATAATCACAGTCATTTACCAGGTTCAAGCAGAATAGTCAAGGCCAACTTGTGAGCACAGGCATCTACCTCCGGAAATATATCCCCTGCTGAACTTAAAGCTCTGTCTTTTCCCGGTACTCATCTCTACAGTTTTCTCTCTTTTCAAGAGGTTACATTGGTTTTACAGATTATCGTGCTTGCTTAGCTGCCTTCCCAGGTTGGAATAGTAGAAGGGAAGAAGAGAAATAAAATTAAATTAAATTAGTCTTAAGCTAAATCTTCATATTACTGTCATGACCTTAGCAAGTACCTTTCCTGCGACAGTGTTATGAGAAATTTCAAGCATTAGGCAGCAGCTACAATTGTCCGTCTACCTCCACTACCAATTTTTTCTTTTTCTGAGTGTTCCAGCACCTGCTGGAGGCAAATCAAGCTCTTGAATTGTTAGGATGGATGCTCAGACCAGTGGTATCTACTTTCTGTGAAAATGTTTTTAGGATAATCTGTTTTCATCACATCAAGCACTAAGACAGTCAGTTAACAGAAGAAATATTAAAGGCAATATTTTTTATTAAGGTAACCCACATACTATTTTTTCATTTAAACATTAAAGTGGAAGTAGTCAACAAAGTCTTATTGAGGAAGAAATAGGAAGGAAATTGATTCAAAAACAAACAGATGCTGCTGATATCATCTCTGGAAGCTGGGAAACTGGTCCACTTTAGTCTCTCATCTTTTTCACCTTCTCCTGAAGTACCACCCACTTTTTTGCCATTCATTTCAGCTTGTCTCCCAATATGCCATCTGTCTGCCTCATCTGAGAAAGCTCACAGATGAAGAATAAAATAGGGTAAGATAAAGGAGGCCAAATTATGCTAGAGGGTTGTGATGGAAAAAGAGATACCCCTGGCCCACTTGTCTTGTTACTGTTCACAGTTTCATACCTCCTTGCCAATTTGATTTATGGATATAAACATACAGTCAATGACAGCCAGCCTAGAATTATAATCTCCACAATTCTGAGGAGACAGACCTCAGGTTAGTTTGGTTTAATATGACTAGAGTTTCTCACTGCAATGCAGAGAAAAAGAAATAACTGTGCATACAAAGGCCACAAAATTAAAGATTACAAGAACATCTTGGATGTTCAGCCTTCCCTTCTACTCTTTCTTTGGGGGGGTGGGTGAGGGAAGAATGCTCACCATAATAGCATGAGTCCATCAACAAATGCACGTGTCAGATTGTGATAGGAATCTCCAGTGCTTTTAAACCCTACTCCTCAGTGATCTCAGTGCCAACTTCATCTCACTTATTTTTGTTTTCCATTTTCGCTGTTATTCACTGCACCCTTCTCAACGGAATTTTAGCGATTTAATTTCATCTAATTGTGGTAAAATTAATCCATTCAAATTTAGAAACCTTTTATGTATTTCCTCAAGAGAACAATTTGCTCTATGATCCTAACCAAGACAAATTTCATTCCTTCACTGTTCACAACCCCTTCCCATCAAGTCTTTTGGCAAAGCATTTGACGTGCTTCTTTCCTCCTACAAAACTCATCATCTGTCTGTGGATCTAGCCATAAATAAGTAAAGGAAAGAATCTTTTCTTAAATGTCTAACGTCTGGAATTACGCCTCATAGAGCCACATTTACAATTCCAATCATCACATTGCTCTGAATATTCATCTTTGGTTTTTCATCAGCTATCAATACAGTCTTTTTTGATGCATAGCTGGAGTCTAGCCTCTGGTTTCTTACTCCCAGCAGTGATTGGGATTTTTCAAGTCCTCCTTGTATAACTCTGTACCTACTTTTACAAATTCTATTCTCTTCTTTTATATCTAATCTATAATTTATGGCTTTGTCACAAACATTTTTAAAATATTACCTATCTGTTTAGTTTGTGTTATTATTTGCACATCTGATCAATGCCTTTTAAAAAAGATTGCCTTTGTTAGATCTTCTGTAAATGCACCAAATACCGTCAGACTTGGGAGATAGAACTTCTCAATCTCCATGATTTATTCGTGAAATGTTCTAGATTTAAGGAATCCAAAATGACCCCCAAATAGTCTATTGAATGAGGTAAAGAGTGCAGAGATGACAGTCAGCAAACAATAATGACAATTACAGAAACCAAGAGAGGAGCAGGGAAAGGCATCCCCAAGGCTGGGAACTAACTGAATGTGGGAAGTCACCAGCACAGGCAGCTTAGCCATTCCCAACCCCCAATTTCCATTACAGCCAAATCTCTCCTGCCTGATAGTAAAATCAAGGGGGGGGGGGGAATAGGGTTCTTTTTCTCAGAATGACTTGCTTGAGGATCACTGAAAAATAAATAAATAAAAGAAATGAGAAAAAAAAAAAGAAATCTGCTCATATGTTTGATGCTGTTCATTCTTAAGAAAAGTGCCTGTGTAACATTTAGATACCTTTTGAAATCTATCCATGCTCTTCCTACCTGCTGGGCTCAATTTCAGAACCTAGAGCTGTCATTAAGGAAAAATAGCAACCTTTGTTCTCTCCTCCAGGCACAACATGTTGCACTGCATTCTTGTTTCCAAAGGAAAAAAAAAAAAAAAACTCCGTTATTTTCTTCGACTCAGAAGCCAGATCCAAGCATTTCCTGTGCATTGGTGCTGGACACACCATCACGATGGTTCACTGGGCAAGATTTTCTTTCACATATTTTAAAGGTCCCTCGTGAAGACATCAGGCCACTTACAGTAATGGATGGTTTTCATTCTCAGTGTAATAAAGGCACATTCCTGAGGCAGACATTTCCCTCAGAGATGGCAAACATTAGAAGTTTCAGAGGTTGAATTCAAATCTGTCCCAAGCTTTCAGTTTATTCGCATCTCTCAAATTTGAAAACTGGATTGGAAAAGTGAATTCATATAGTATATTTATTGACTTAGCCTGATTTTATATGCTCAATGTTTCTATCTTAAATTTATCACAGACACAGCAGGAAAAAACACATGTATGTATCTTTCTATTTTCAACTTTTCTATGTTCTTTTTATTAAAGTATGTTGCTTAGAGACAATGTTTTGCTGGATTTTATTTATTTATTTATTTATTTATTTATTTATTTATTTTGACAAGCAGAGTGGACAGTGAGAGAGACAGAGAGAAAGGTCTTCCTTTGCCGTTGGTTCACCCTCCAATGGCCGCCGCGGAGCTGATCCGAAGGCAGGAGCCAGGTGCTTCTCCTGGTCTCCCATGGGGTGCAGGGCCCAAGCACTTGGGCCATCCTCCACTGCCTTCCCGGGCCACAGCAGAGAGCTGGCCTGGAAGAGGGGCAGCTGGGACAGATTGCGGTGCTCCGACTGGGACTAGAACCTGGTATGCCGGCACCGCTAGGTAGAGGATTAGCCTATTGAGCCGCAGCGCCGGCCTGCTGGATTTTATTTTAAAACCAAATCTGGGAGTCACTATGTTTTCATAATGAGCTTAACACATATATGCTTATTTATTATATTAAGCTTTATCTTTTATGGCCTTACTGCGTATTTTGTATCATTACAACTTATCACATACTGTTTTCAAGAAGCCTTTCATTAAATAATCACTTTTCATTCTTTTGGTTTGAAAGTTGCATATTCTATTTTTGTCATACTGAAATTTATGCCTAACTATGTAAGATGTATAACATGCGTATGCTTTTTTAATATTTATGCATTTATTTAAAATATTTTATTTATTTATTTGAAAGATAGAGTTGCACACAGAAATAGGAACAGACAGGTTCACTCCATCTGCTGGTTCACTCCCCAGTGGCTGCAATGGCCAGAGCTGAGCTGATCAGATGCCAGGAGTCAGGAGCCTCCTCCAGGTCTCCCATGTGGTACAGGAGCCCAAACCCATGGCCATCTTCCACTGCCTTTCCAGGCCACAGGCAGAGAGCTGGAGCAAAAGAAGAGCAGCCGAGACATAAACTGGTACCCATATGGGATGCTGGCGCAGAGGGCGGAATCTTAGCCCACCAAGCCACAGTGCCAGCACAAATAATTATTTATTTTAAAAAGGCTTTATTTATTTATTTGAAAAGCAGAATGTGAGTTAGTGAAGCCATTGTGGAAAACAGTGCAGAAATTTCTTTAACAAACAAACAAACAAAAAACCTAGAAATAGACTTGCCATGTGATCCAGCAATTCTTCTACTGGGTATATATCCAAAAGGCTTGAACACAATGTATAAAGAGATACCTACACCACCATGTTCATAGCAGGACTGTTCACAATAGACAAGATTTGAAACCAACCAAGATGTCCACTATCAGATGAATGAAAAAAGCAATTGTGGTATAAATATACCATAAATACTACTCAACCATAAAAAGAATGCAATTCTACCATTTGCAGCAAAATGGGTACCACAGAGGACATCAGGATGAATGATATAAGCCAGAAACAGAAATACAGATGCCACATGTTCTCCCTTACATACGGGAGCTAAAATTTAGGAAGCAAACAAAAAGAAAAAGAGAAAAGAGAAAGAAAAAAATAAATATCTATGTGTATTAGTATTGCTGCAAATATAGTCATATAAAATTTTGTTCTATAAATTTGTCAAACTAACGGTTAAAAATATTTAAACTACCACAATTTTAATAATCAGTGATTACTTTAAAATTTATTGTATATGAGTGATATAACCATTTTTCCATTCAATTATAGTTTATAGCTGTTGTCTATATTCTCACTATTCTAGGGTCATTTTATTTGTTAAACTTCCTATTTGGTGAAGTATTAAGCCTTTTTACTGAAATGTGATTTTAAAATATGTTATCTCAAAAACCAAAAAATAGACAGGGAAGAGGGAAAGAGGGTGGGAGAGAGAAAAAGGGAGAGAGGAAGGAAATATCATTATATTCTCTTTTTTAAAGATGTATTTATTTATTGGAGTTACACAGAGAGAAAAGGAGAGGCAGAGAGAGAGAGGGAGAGAGAGAGATTGATTTTCTGTCTGCTGATTCATAATAGCAGCTAAGTCTGAGTCAGGCCAAAGCCAGGAGTCAGAATTCCATCCAGGTCTCCCACATGGATGACAGGAGCCCAGTTACTTGGGCATCTTCTGCTCCCTTTCCAGGTCCATTAGCAGGAAGAAGCAGAGCAGAGGCAAAGCAGCTGACTCTTGAACTGGCATTCTGATATGGGATGCTGGTGTTACAAGTGGCAGAATAACCCACTATGCCACAACACCAGTCCCTAATCAATTGATTCATCCAATCTCTTTCTTTAAACAAGAAAAGTGCTTTATCACATTATCATCTGCTTTCATGTCTCCATCACTAACCCCCCTTCCTGGATGTTATCTAAAATGCAAGCCCTGTGTTGTTTCTCAATTTCTTTTTCTGTTCACTTGCTTTGTTTTTGTTTATCTGTCTTGATCTTTGCCTTTTGAGATTATATTTTGTCTAAGTTACTCTGTCTCTTGAAGTCTATATCTCTTTTGGTATTTTCTTATTTGTTTCAAGTAATTTTTCAGAGGATATATTTTTTTTAAGATTTTATTCAGTGATTGGAGAGGTAGAGTTACAGATAATGAAAGGGAGAGACAGAGAGAAGTCTTCCATCTGCTGGTTCACTCCCTAAATGGCCTCAACTGCTGGAGTTGAGCTGATCCGAAGCCAGGAGCCAGTTTCTTCCGGGTCTCCCAAGTGGGTGCAGGATCCCAGGCTCTTAGGCCGTCTTCCACTGCTTTCCCAGGCCATAGCAGACAGCTGGATGAGCAGAGGAGCAGCCAGCACTAGAACCAGCACCATAAGGGATGCCGGTGCCACAAGCAGAGGATTAACCTACTGCGCCATAGCACGGGCCCTTCAAAGAATGCTTTAGAAGGAGGTTTTTTTAAATGAACACCTTCAAAATTTTAGGTCTGATATGTCTGACAATTTGTTCACTTGTCTTTGCATTTGAATAATAGATGGGATAATACATTTCTCTCTCATCAATATTTTTAAAAAAATCAGTCTGGTGTCCTCCTGCATTTAGCTTTCCTGTTGAAAAGTCAGATGTCAAGGTGATTTTTGTTCTTTTACAAATTGTCTCTTTCTGGAAGCTTTTAGTTGCTGTGAAATCTCACTCCAAATTTTTGAATTTCATTGTAATGAGTCCAGTTATGAGTGTATCTTTATCTT